ATCGTGGTACATGGTCAAAATTCTATAGAAATATAGGGTACGTCAGTTCAAAAAATATATGAGAGGAGTGAAGGAAACACAAATAGCATGAGTTGAACTGTACTGAGTCTGGGAGCTTTGTGGTTTTAAAATCATTTTGAAGCTATCAAATACTAAAGGTGTGTCTCATAAGCTTCCTCCTTCCTTCCTTTTCCACTTTTGTGATTTTTTTTTTGAGTTAGAGTTTGCTTTGGGAAGTGATTTTCAGACTATAGGAGTTATGAGTTTAAACTCATTAACTTAAATAAAATTAATGAGAGTTTTTTAAGTTAGTTAAACCTAGGTTTTATAGTTTTACTCATTTTTTATAGTTGAAGGGAAATTGGCCATTCATGAGGTTTTTTGGAGGTTATTTATTGCCATTAATGATAAGTAGAGAGTTTAATGATGATAGTTGAAGACAATGGGAGTTAATAAATTGAATGGATAAAATGTAAGAGATTGAAATTTTAGGTATTTAAAGTGTTGAAAAAGAAAGTTGAGATTAGGTTGACAAAGTTATTAATTATTATTGGTATGATTAATTATATATTAATCATTTCCATGACCATTCAAGTTTTGAAAAACTTAAAAAATTGTTTAATATTGAGGAGAAAAACCTATGATCACTCAAAGGTTTAAAACAACTAGAAAAAATTTAGTTTATACTTTTTCTTGTTTAATTGGTTGTAGATATTTGTAAATTGCTTTGAAAAATATGAGTGTACTCTTGATTATGTGCAAAATGCAAGTATGGCATGAAATTGATAATTTAAGTGAATTTTTAATAAAATTAACTTGATTTGGATAAGAATATGATTAATGCATTTGAGTATAATTGTGTGAAGTTACTAGAGGCATGTGGAATGTCATAATGAAAAAGAGTTATGAATTATTTTGTAATTTGATAGGATGCTTTGAGAGTTTATCTTGTTAACGTAAGTGATGAGGAGATGCATTATGAAATTGCTTGCCATGTGTACGGGGTTTAAGCATTTGCATGCAAGAATACGATTATTGAGAAATGTTCATGTGGTGTTCTGAGCATGTTAGTCATGTGATTATATAAGATGGGAGTTCATTTAGAGAGAAGAATAGAGAATTCTAAATTCATGTGATACGACTGCCAAAAATCACTAATATTATAATATCAAAGTTTTAAAATTTATAATACTTACAAAAATTGCTAATATTCACATTCAATCATAAAACTCAAAATTAATCATTTAATTACATAAACCATGAAATTTGAAAAGTATGACTCCCAAAATCATCAATCACAAATTTTCCCACTAAATCCTAACTTTAATTTCTCAAATCAATTATTTGGGCATAATCAAAATCATGCAACTATCATTTCAACATCATTAACTTCATTAAAAATTAAATAATCAATAAAAATTTCCAAAATGTCAAAATCTTTCAAATCTTAGCTTTTCCATCATGAGGAAATCAAATATCAAAGAAGGTATATAATTAAAAAAATATTTAGAACATTTATACAATTTTAAAAAACTTAAGATCATATCCAAAATATCTTATTAGTCCTATTTTTAAAATTTTTCTCACTCTCCATCTCGATTTCTCACTGCAAGAAGAAGAAAAAGAAAGAAGTGATGCACACACAAGAAGAAATGGGATTGAAAATAATAAAATAATTTAGTGGTCTTGGTGTCATTATCCGTTATCCTCTTTTTAAAATTTATATCTTCTTCCTTCTTTTCTTTTCAATAATCAATAATTTATAAAATCTCTACAAACACATTTATATTATATAATTTATAAAGTCTATTAGTGTATTTTACTAAACACAATTTCTTTAATATTTATATGATTGTAATTTTTGAGAAACAATTTTATATATTTATATATAATCCTTATTCAAAATATATGAGCCCTATCAAATAAATTTTTTTACTCAAATATTTGCATGATAGATTCTAGCAACCACGCAATAATTTGATTTAAGTCGATCAATGCTAATAAATATTTATTACCTTTAATTCTATGCTTCCGTTTTCATAAAATAATAATTTGATGTTTTAAGAACATAAGTAAGTTCAATTAATCTTGATCAAGATTTTTCCTAGTTTCATATTTTATTTATTTAAATCATAAACCTATATCTCTTTATACCTCATAAAATATAAATTAAATTACCTTAAAATTTCAATTTATTTAGAAAATCATAGTTTTTGTTACTTAAATTTGAAAACCAAAAATAGAGGTGTTACACATTGTGTGTTTAACAAGTACGTTAATTAAGTTAACAAGTTATCAAGTAAATGTTAGTTACATGTACAAGTAAAGATTTTAACAAGTAATTATGGAGAATTAATGTATAAAGTAAAAATTTTAGCTCAAGAAGGTTATTTTAATTATTTTGCCTTACACTTTAATTCTAGTTCAAGCCTAAATTCTACCGTGAATGTTTAGATTTATTTGTGCCTCATTTATAATTATATCACATATATGGTATTTTAATAAAATTCTCCCAATTCAAAATCCTTGTGCTGCTAGTAAAAAAATACATTGCCCAATTATAAGCAATTTGCCACCTTTGGATACTATTAATATTAAGAAAATTTAATTTTATTTCAAATCGCATAAGAAGTTCACTTAAACTTTCAGTTTTGTCTTTATGGATAATTCGTTTTGATTTATGATTAGTTAAAAAATGTCATAAATTAATAGACACAATAATCTAGATTAGTAAATATAAAAGATAAAATTACAAAATATTTTTTTTACAAATGCTAAGATGCTTATGTTTTGGATCAAGATTAGTTATAACAAAATGCTTATATTTTGGACTTGAGGAAATACTCTTCTAATCTTATTTATAAGCCTTTTTTAATATGTTTTATTGAAATTAAAAAAATAAAACTAATTTAATTTATATAAAAGTTTAATAAGTTCTCAACTTCATTTTCATTAAATATATATACTGTAATAATATATTATAATTTCTCTCACTAACATAAAGTAAGGCAAAATAAATATATGATAAAAAATTTTGTCCTTTCAAGGACATCTAATATGTCAAAAATTTAATGATGTAATTTATGAATAGTTAAAAAAATCTTTTCTATTATCATGGAGGAAGTACCTCTATGGCTCTATCTATTTATTACATTTTTTTTTCACTATGAAATATATGCTTAACGAAATTAACTTACGGATATTTTGTAAAAAAAATCGTAAAGTTTTGACACGTTAATAACAAATGACTAACTTTTAGCCCAATAAAAACAAATAACTAACTCAATGAAGATATTTATGAATTAATTAATTAACTAGATTTGAATGTTTGTTCGACAAAAGACACATGTGCATAATTAAAAAAAAATAAACAGGTGAAACATTTTTGTTTAGCCAGCAAATCGGCAATCCTCTTGATTCGGTGGTGAGGGAGAGCATTAAAAAAAAAATAAATGGAATAAATAAAGAGTGATTGGATGCAGTGTTTGACCATTAAGGAACAACGATGATCCCGGATACAGCGGATCTTCTTGTTTGTCCACTCAATCCTCAAAAAAGCAAATCCCATAATCATCCCAAACAACTCCTACTTCTCCTTTCCTCTTGTGAAGACCATTTCCTTCGACTTCAAAATCTGCTTAAAAAAAATGTATAGGGAAAAATATTAACATAATCTCAAGATTTTGTTATATGCATGTATTACTCTCTTCGTTTAAAAATATGAGATATTTTTATTTTTTTAAGATATAATTATTGCTTTTTCTAAATACTTTTATTGATAATGACTTTATATTTATTGTAGAATGTTTAATAGGAGTAAATATAGAAAAATAAGGTTAGTTAAAAAATATGTACATACTTTATTGGAGGTGAGATTCGATTAAAAATACCTTATATTTTTAATATTGGGAGTATATTTTAAAATAAATATAAAGTAATTTATTTATCATGTGTACTTTTGAAAAAAAAAACACATTAATTACACCTTAAATCATTAAAAATACCTTACATTTGTTAATATCTAATCCCTTAAGAAATTTCTTATATATTTTAACATGATAAATCCTTTAGAGTTTAGACCACAAGTCTTCAGGACAGAAATTAATTATAAAGGTCTTACGAAAAAAATAATGCTTCTTTTCTATGCAGTCACCTGAATTTTAAATTTTCACCTAATGTTTTCTCTCAATTTAAATTGACTTGAAAAGCATTCAAGACTTCTCGGACAGTTTGACCCAAATGGCTTCACATTGATAAAGTATTTTGCTACTAATGTGATCTTATCACCCACGAATAATAGATAATTATATAACAAAAAAGTGTTTCTAGAAAGAAAATAAAAAATACTCCTGTCTCAATTTCTTTTTAAGTGTATTTTTTATTTCCTTTTTAAATACACTTTTTACACCAAAAGGCTTGTAATCCCCAAATAAAAAATGAGTTTTCTTTTCTCATAACTTTTGTTTTGATTAAAAAAATTGAACAATTTATAAAATTTCAAGTTGAATGTCAAAAGTTTCCCAAAATTCACCAAAAGTGGCTGCGTTTAATTAAAAAAAAAATTCTTCACAATGTGACAAACCAAAATTTAAATTTTTATTAAAAAAAATATTCATATTTAATACCAGATCTTGTCTCAAACAGGATTGCTTCCCATAGAAGAATCCCAAAAGTTTTCAAATCTTCACTACTTTTTGCTAGAAATACAATACAGATGCAAGACCAAGAATAGTTACTGAGTAACCGACAAGTGAAAACCAATTACACTAATCTACATGATGAGAGGTCAACAGCCCAAAATCGCAGCCTACTGTGTCCACAGGTAATACCTTGAAGCCCAAAGGCCCAAAAAGTTTATGCAAGGCCCAAAATTTATCCTAGTCCCAAAAAGTTGCTACATCGTTGCCAATTTTCAATTTTTGTATTCCGAGTGCAATATACAGTAGACTTGGGTTAAAAAAAAAAAAACCGTCGTTGAAGCGGATGTTGGAAAATGAGGAGGCAAAAAGAGAACCAAAACTGTTGAATTATCTAAACATGCGATTTACATTTATGCGTATATAATTCTGTGTCGGACAAGAGGGATCCGAGGTCGCCCATTAGCACAACGCAGGCAGAATCCTGGGAAGGGACGGGGAATAAAAAAGAAAAATAAAGAATTGAAGTTATGGAACAATGATGTTAGCAATCTCTAAGCTACCCACGGTACCTTGCTAAATCGAAACAACATATTTCCTCGTACTAAAAAACTAACTGACGAAAGTGATCAAATACTGCACCTACAAGAGCATTAGCACAACCTACAAGAAATGATCTTGGTCTAACTCCGTGCACGTCAGTTTCTTTATTAGCTTAAGCCATGAGTGGAAAAAATGGGGCTTAGATCCTCGTCCATGGGCAGGTTTAGATCAGGCAGCAAGAAGGAAGCTTCTTGTTTGTCAATCTCCTGAGGCTTGCAAGATTCATCATTTGCTGAAGGCACAGACGGAGCGTTATTGTCAGCAACAACTCGTGGAACACCTGGTGATATTAAATGAGAAGGATGAGACTGTGTGTCCTCAAGCTGAGGTTGGTTGACCATGGCTTTGTCGGATCTCACTGGGGTTGTTGTAGCAGCTTTCAAGTTCTGTCTTGACTCCATGTCAACCTGTTGAAACCAAGATTCGGAAGTAAGTAGATTCTGATACATCTATCAGAAAATCATCAAGTTTCAAGTCACACAGATGGCAATAAAGAACAAGAACAGGAATGTCACCTTCATTTTCTTTAGCCTTTCATTTGTTGCTCTGTGGTTCTCTAGAGTGAGACGCAGGGCTGCCAGTTCCTGTTCAAAAGTCACCACAGTAACAATTAACAAACATGAGATCTAGCTCCAATCAGAAGAATCAAGGACTCAAGAACGATTAGCCAAAAAGCAATCACAGGACATACACTTTTCAGATTTCTCATTTCCTTTAACAGCACACTCTCCTCCTCTTTTAGTTCAGCTAATGTCTGCAAACACAAAGTTTACAACATTAACATATGCAAGCAGGTAGCCAAAACAGCACAAACCATTGCAACATATTAACGGACATGTTAAGGGAGGGTTTCACCTTAAGATTAGGAAAGGCAGTGAAAAAGGCAAATACAAGCTCCCTCACTAGTTCACTAAATATGATGTTATAGTTCAACTAAGCTTTATTCTAATGACTTCTGCTGAGAACCAGCAACAGAACAGGTCAAGCTGCAAAAAATTACTACCTCAGTAGATTTCTCTTAGCAAGACACCAACACATTGAGTCATAAGTTTAACGTAGGCGAGACGGCCACCATTGACAAAGAAGTCTATTCAATTACAAAGTGAGCAGACGATGTAAATTCCATAAATTTGAAGAAATTCACGGCTGGCTCTCAAGATTTGAAATCACTAAGTCACCACTCATCATTTCCTTCTCTTTCCAATATTAGATTTTCCACATTGGTCCATCGTATCAAAGGGAGTTTAAGCAACGCATTCCCAAAAAATCAAAAAGGGAATTTAAGCAACATCATCCTATCCTTGACCCATACTAAACTCATTTTATGTATCCCCCAAAATATCACGTAAGCTGCTTTAAACTCAGCCTCGGGTTCTTGAAAAGTTACTCGCATCAAAGTCTTTGATAACCAGAAGACGAAAACAAAAGCTTCAAAACGTCCACGCTTTACCTTTTTTCTTCTACATTTCTTGGTCGTAGTTGTTTCACTCGGATTAGCAACCTGCAAGGCATTAATTAATTATATCAAAGTGGGCAATATTTATATGCATTTAAAGAATGCGACAACAAATATTAACACATTCGCTTTCAATAAAAATAAGGCACACAATCGTGAATCAGTCCAGAAGATTGAAAACCCGATAGCCAAAAATAATCTGAAGATGATAGGAATGGAAGGGAACACCCTAAGTAGGAGATTGCAATGTGGAATCAACAAATTCTTCACTAAAGGGCCATATAAAAGTGCTAAACTGATCGCAAACAAGAAATAGATAATACTCATCAGATCCTATTTATAGAGTAGAAAGAAAAGAATTTTTTCATCCTATTTATAAGTCACCTCATTCAATTTTCAACACAAATTTCTCCTTTTACCTTCTTTTGAATGTTGAAAATAAAAAATATGTTGCTAAAGCGTGTATATGTTAAAGGCAAAGTTAATAACTTATTAAATTTTAAAACATAATGAGTTTTAAAATTTTCAATTTCCGTGCTTGGAGTTGGTGGGAGTGAACAAAGGAGAATAACTCCACCATTCAAAACGCATCTTTCTGCGTAACACGGTAATTGATGTACTACATTTTTCAGTAATGTACTATATTCAATTCTACCAGTCCATTGTGTTCCTTGCACTGCGATGTAAGTAAAACCCACTAGACTAGCACCGACTCACTCGTCACAAGATTGAAGTCATGTTTTAAAATATACACCTATGACCTGCTCTAGCGGCACCCATTGCTCGTGAATAGTTATTAAAAGCATGATGAGTTAGACAGATCTTAAGAGAAAGAGGATTCTCCGGAGATCATGATGAGTTAGATAGATGCTATCCAAAGAAGAAATCAATATGTGATGCGTGTCTTCCATCCTAATTAAGAGGGTGATTGATAGCGATGCTTTAGATTAGTACACACCAATCACCAAAGAGCCAGCTTAAGTAGCTTCATGCCATCAATTTGGTAACAAAGTGGTGCCCACTTGGGGAACTACCCCAATCAAATGGCTCTTACCGACCATATGCTTGAAATAGAGATAAGAACCCCTTTTTCTCCTTCTTTTTCCCTCTGTACGCTGTGTTTTGGTCTCTAAGGGCCCAAAACAAGGGCAGCTTCATTTCTCTGGGTTAGAGTTAGACCACACCGCACTTCCTTTCAATCCCAGATGGCTAAAGAACATATTTTGATTTCTGACCTGATGGGCCCTACAAAAACATAAACGGGCCAGAATAACAGCCTGTCATTCTAAAGAATTACAGTCTCCCCAATTAAAAACTTTCCCTGTGTTTGACTTTCCGCCCCAAAGCAGCCTCTAAATATTTAACGTTGTCATGTTCCCCACGAAACCCAAGGGTTGCGATCAAGCTGTCATGCAGAGACTACTTCACTGACAGACACTTCACACTTGTCTTTTAGTTTTACTTTCCCGAGTAAAACGACGACGTAGACGGGGAATGAAACGAAAAGGAACCAACATGCGTCCGCAGGTAACTAGCTCCCCATACTGTGCAAGATCACACCGAATCATTGCCCCATCCTTCGTCCTTCCGAAGCATTGCGATTGCGAATGCCCTAAAACTAAGAGTGCACAACCACTACCAACAACACACCCAACTTCACGCAGACCCATTTGCCACGAGAACACGCCACCAAAAAAAAAAAAAAAAGCTCGACGCGTGGTTTTACTCAAACACCCCTCGCCGCGCTTAATGGGAATGAGCGCGTCAGAGTCAGTTAAGTTGGTACGGTGTATGCGACTATCCGAGGGAGTTTCGGTTTGGAAACCTACATGGACGGCTTTTTTGGATTCGACAATTATCGAAGAGACGAAAATGCCCTTCGATAGAAGGGTGTTATCGTCATTTGAGGACCAGGCGTGACACGGCGCGTAAAAGTGGCGAGAAAAGGAGATAAGAGTCATTGAACCGTCTGACTCCATGCGTTGAATGAAAGTCACCCATTTTCTCTGAAATTTTTAATAATGATTTTAATTTAATAGGAACAGAATATTTTTCTCTCTATGTATAATATATATTGAAAGAAAGAAAAGTCAAGCTATGCCTTTAGAAAGGGCATCAGGGTGAATAAATTTTGGGAAAGGGAAAAGATACAACGGCGGCGATGTTGATCGGAGCAGTAAGGTTCCGGCAAGTGAAGTGACTGAGCTGTCACGGGGGATTTTCGAACACGTGGAAGCTGGATTATAAATCCACACCAGAACAATTGAAAATAAAGGAACGGAAAAGGGCAAAAAAAAAATATAAAAACAGAGAGACCAGGTGTGGCTGATGCCCCATTTCCCGGAGGGCACTTGGAGTCACGGCTATCTAGTCGCGGTAAAAACCGCAGTTCATCAAGGGCATTTTCGTCAATTGAGATATAATCTGACAGAACTTACAAACACAGAGTTACCGAGTCGTGCACTCGCCGCTCAATGAAGTCACGCGACACACTAGCCGAATGCATCAGACACGCGGCCGGCTAACGGCCACCAGCGAAAGAGCCTGAGAGCAAATAAAACAAGAAAAGGAAAAAAAAAAAACAGAAGAAGAGAAGCAGCGAACCTTAGATCTTGAGGTTTTCAGGGGTTTCGTCGGTCGGCTGGACCCTTCAGATCCGTCAGCGGCGCCTCCACCGCTGGCAGAGGTGGCACCGCTCCAGGAGAGAGGCGTGGTAGGACTGGCTCTGGTCGGCTCACGTTTCTTGTGGGCGGAGGCACCAACGTGTCTAGGAGCGGACCTAGAACGGCGCTGACGTACGGTCCAGTGAAGTTGAAGACAGGGAGCGGACTTCTTAGGAGGCGGCGGAGCTTGTTGGAGGCGCAGAAGCATGTCGACAACGAGGGAGTCGTCAGACATGGCGACGTTGACCCAACCGTCGTCGCACATGTGAAGAGAAGATCGTAGTGGCGAGGAAGGATAAGAAGAAGGTGATGGAGGAGGAGGAGGAGGAGGAAATTGGCGTGAGGGGAGGCGTGGGGATTGTTGGAATATTGAATAATGAATAGGAAGAGAAAAGAAGGAGGCGTGAGAGAGATTTATGTCAGAGAGAGAGAGAGAGAGAGAGAGAGAGTGGGTTGTGTGTGTGTGTGACAAACCCTTGTCTCGGTGACTCTGTGGATCGATCCTCTTTCTCCTTACTCCCACATATTGGGGTCCACCAGTCTCATACGTGGCTTTTCCAACTGTTTCCTCATCTCGTCTCTGCTTCTCATTCTTTTTTTGCTTTTTTTTTTTCCTTTCTTAATAAAAAAATCAGATGGAAATATATGATAACATAATGACAGTAACTTCATAAAGTTGGTTTATTAAGAAAATTTATTGAGCTATTGGTTGCTTTACTTGCAGGAATGAAAACTGCTCAATTGTGACATTGAAATTCCGTTGTAATTTATCCAAAAAAAAATTCCTTGTAATTTTTAAATCGAATATATTTGTTTGTTTTCCTGAATAAATCGAACATATTTGAGGAATATCAATAATCAATAATAATTATTAAATGATTTGCATGAATTAATTTTATAGTTTTATCAATGAGAGAAAATATGACACAATTTTTATAGTTTTTTTTTTATTCTATCAACCCATGTTTTAAAATACTTGTTTAACCTGATTGTATATTTCAAAATACAAATCCAAAATTTTAAAATAAACCAATTCAACCCCTAATCAATTCAACCGAATATTTTCGATACAATTTTTATAATTTTGTTATCATATCAAAAAGGATGTTCAAATGATATAATTTCATCCAATCATCATTTTTAGGTTTTTTTTTATGAATTATGATAAATCGACGCATTTTTCATCCATAATGAAAAAGCCATATTGGTTTTACAGAAGAGGGCCATAACATAAGGTGTGAATTCCGAGTATTTTTCTCCGTACCTGAACTTTTATAGTTTGCTTGTCATGCAAGGCTCTCTTGATCAAAATTCGAAACTTAAGTGATTTTTGTTCTTTCCTTTTTTCATTTTTTGGCATGGAAACTGGTAAGTAATTTTGGAAATTTGGGTTAATCTATCTGATTAAATCAATAAATTATTAAATCAGTTTCCAGACAGGTTTGATAAAATGTTTTGTTTATTATGAGTTTGATCATAATTCAACAACAATTTTAATCATTGATTCCTATGCAAGTGCCTTGATCAATCCAATGAAGGTTCAATTTTCAGTACCTTATCAATAATTATTAGTTTAATTACTCATTAGAATTACCCTTATTGGCTAACTCATGAGCAATTATTAACAAGAAAAAGGCAATTAGAAGCAATGATTTTTAAAATATATTAATTATTAGCAACGTAATTATTAAATTAAATTATTTATTTATTTTAACTAATAAAAAAATGACATCTCTAAAATTATAAGAATTTGTATTATTTATAAATAATAAATATAAAAGATATAACTTACCGCAACTCACAAATATCATGCTTAACATTAGCTCAGAAATTAAATTTAAATAAATACTAGGGAGAATTACAATTAAATTCCACACAAGAAAATTAATTACTGCAAGATTCATTGACAACTGAATTAAATTATATTGACAGGTGCAGTTTAGTTTAGTTGTCAATGGACCTTATAGTAATTAATTTTTTTTGTTGGACTTCAATATCATTGTCCCTAAATACTACTCCTTCTGTCTTAAATTATAAGATACTTTTAGACAAAATCTCACATATCAATAAACCGCATTGAAAAAAGAAGGAATGAAAATTAATTATAAAGAGAGAAAGGGTAATGTTGAATTTGATACATTTAATAAAACATTAATCTATCCAAAATGTCTTATATTTTGAGACAAAAAAACTCCTTCAAAAGTATTTTATAATATGGAGGGAGTATACACCATAGGAGGACGAGAGTATATACCATAGGAGGACCCAATGGTCCCTCCCCCCCCCCCTCTCTCTCTCTCTCTCTCTCTCTCTCTCTCTCTCTCTCTCTCTCTCTCTCTCTCTCTCACTCTCTCTCTCACACACACACACACACACACACACACACACACACACACACACACACACACACACACACACACACACACACACACACAGACAGAGAGAGAGAGAGTAAAACAAATAAAATGATATCTTAAAACTTAACCTTTTAAACACTTGCATGGTACAATATGAAATTAGACTTTATTATAGTAAAAAAAAAATCTACCATAATAATAGGAGCCAAATTAATTTTTAAACAAGTTACCATGATAAAAAAATTAAACTTAATAAACAAGTTTATTATGATAAAAAATAGCTTACTAAAATATAAAAAAGTCTAACTTATGGATTTCATTTTCAAAACAAGGTTAGAAATCCAAATTTAGTAATAAATTACATACAATATGAAATTAGAGTTTTCATGGACAATTTAGTTTGACACGGCATATCTTTTTTTCACAAATATTCAAACTCATTGATTCAAGTGTCTACCCAAGACAATACACATAATATAGATATTGGTTTTGGTTTGATATACAATGCTTGCAAAGTAGGGAATTAATTCACATAACCCATTTACTATCCTATTAATATTTCCCAAACATTCAAAATCACACCTCACAAATCAAAGCCAACACTTAGGGTGAATAATTTGACCACATGTCAATCATTCTACGCAACACATACCAATTAAGACTTCAACCAAGTACAATTACAATCACCTAACACAATTAAATAAAAATTCTTAATAAAATATCATCTCATCTCCAAAACATGATTTAAATACTTTCGGTATAATCAAATGAGGCTATGGGTGTTGGACACAAATCCCGTGGTTATAGTTAAAATAAACTTAACAAAAGTCAAGTGTCAACATGTTTTAATTAAACAAAATGGATCTTAAGTTGGCAAATGTACATTAATTAAAAAAATGAGGCATAACTAAAATAATTGATGTTCCATACACCAAGTCTAAGCCTTGGGTGATTCTCTAGCTAGATCTATTCCAGTAAAATATTAATTATGAAAAATAAGATATAAATGTCATAATAACTAATACTAAAATGCTATAATGTATGCAATACAACTAATCACACAATTGTAAAATAGGCATACAAAATATATTTTTGAACAATTGTAACCAAACTAATTGAATATGAAAATGCATAGCTGACACTTTAACTTCTCCTTACTCCAAGTGTCGCAGCTACCTAACCTGGCAAAATATAAGTTAATATAGGCTACAAGCCACTCTTTGATCAAATAAAGGTGTAAAATGTGGTCTTGAATAAATCTGAACAAGAAATCCCTAACACCATTTTAAACCCGACATGTCATGCTAATAATATTTTCCAATAATAAAAATATCCAAACAATTAACATGCTTCCAAATATATTATTTTATATTGAATATATTCATGTACAAAAGTTAATCCCACTTGGCGAATACAAATGTTTTCCAATCACATAGTATTCATTTTCAACCACATAATTTTTCAAACATGATTATTTTCAATACATAATCAATTTCAAAACACACACCACAGTATGGTGATAGAAGGGTTACCTTGTGATTTGAATAATAAATTCTCCTTTACAACACTTCTTTGATCCAACTCTTTGCAAACACAATCTACATAATTTTTTTCACATTTCATAACATCAATTTTAAGATTGAAATTAATAAACAATTCTAATTATAGAGTTGGAGAGCCTAGTTCCCTAAATCCACTATTCGCACTAATTCAAGGTTAGTATGTTTAAATAACATTCCCACACTTTTTCTAATATCATCAAACACCAACAAGCTATAATTATCCTCCCAACCTTTTTTAATATTAAAATTTCACCCTTTTTTATTCCTCTAAACAAAAATACTCAAAAATCAAAACTTTAGTTTTAAGCCTTAAATCATCATTCTAAAACCTTACAAGCATTCCTCTAACTCAAATAAACCTCAATTTATTACAAAATCACTTTAAAAATTTAAATCTGAGAAAAATCTTGCCCACATAAGTACAGTATTTACATCACAAGCCTCAAATTCTAAATTTTCTACACTTAGTAATTTATCCAAAATATTCATTTTATAGATTCCAATCTCAACTAACAAATTAAATTGATTAATCCTTAATATAACCTCCAATAAGCATAACCAATCTATTAAATTTGAAATAAACCATCACCATATTCATAAATAATCATCTTCTCAATTAAAACCTAATTTTAACTCATCAAATCAATTATTTGAACAAATCTAAATCATACAAACTATCGTTCCTATATTATTAGCTCTATTAAGCTCTAAATAGTTAATAAAAACACCCAAAAAAAATCAAAATCTAACAAAATCGTAGATTTTTATACTGTCAAGAATTAAAAAAATAAAATGAGAAATATGCTAAGAAAATATTTCACAAATTTACCTGGTTTTAAAAAGTCTCAAATCATACTTAAAGTATCATATAATGAAACCCACCCTTGAAAATCTCTAGAATTGATAACTGGGTTGGGTCAGGTTTATTTAGATCAATCTTAAAGTATCGTATCTTTTAAAAAAAAAACTCATATAATTAAATTTAATTCTAATTATTTCAGGCTAGCCTAAATTATATGATCCAATTTTAATTTTTTTTCAAGTGGATTCAGACTGACTTGTTGAATTATACTTGACTAATACATATCTTGCCCTAGACGACCGCAACGCGCACTATGCTCTTCTCTGCGTCGCCGAGATTGAAATAAGCGTTGAGGGTAGATGATGGAGTGAAACTTGAATTCGGTGGAGGGACTTTGAAAATCCCACAGGTAGCCCGTGGTCACAAGGCAATGGTTAGTTGCCTGCGGCCACTGGCCAATTATACAAATTCAATACGATATATTTTTATTTTTTTCTTCTTTCTCTCTCCCAAATTTCTATTCATTTTTTTTTTCAATTTTGCTTTTCCCGTTCTTCTTCTTCTTCTTCTCTGTTGTTTCGTTAACATTTTTTTATTACTTATATTCTTAATTTCTTTTTATTCCACTTACTTCTAAAAAATTAGTATCGTGATATTATAATTTTTTTAAATTATTTTTTATAATTTCTATAATTTTTCAAGACTCTCATAAAATTTCAAGGACTAAACATTTAACTTCTATTTT